CACACACACACACACACACACACACACACACACACACACACACACACACACGGAGTAAAGGAAGATGAGAAGAGAGGCCCAAATGCTCCCAATGGCTATCTCTGGATGAGTGGTTCTAGAATTTTTCCCTGCTTGCCTCCTTTCTGAACTTTATAAATTTTCCTTTACTTTTAGGATGAAGGGGGAAACCTGTAACATCAACAAGAACTTTTCAAAGCCACAGGCATACTTCTAGAAGCTTTTCCTAGAATGTTCCTCACCCCTCTATTTTCTGGCTCTGGCCTCTGGCCTTGAGGACGAGGAGGAGTCTTCTCTCTGAAATGAAACAAAGTAAGGCCGTTACTAAGTGTTGTAAGTTGTTCCCCTTGAGGGCTGGCCCGCAGTGTCTGGGTCACTCCTGTTCAACACACAAAACTGTGTTGGCTTAACAAAATTCTAACTCCATTCTACCTCAAATCAGGAAAACCAGTTTGATCTGAGAAAGACATCAGATTGTATAGCCTACCCTTGCAATAGAGATTTAAGTCCATGGTTATGAAAAATAGCCAGTTTTGCCTTCCCTAGGCCCACATGATATGAGCTCATGGGTACCAGAAATCCTAAGCCAGACTAAAACCAAGGATGGTTTGTTTGATAGGGTTAAGGTTCAAAGTTATCTCTAATCTCCCATACTAATTTCAGTTTGGCCTCTATTACTCTTAGACTAACCCCATGCTATCTATCTTTTACTTTTGCTGCTAGGTCTCAGACTATCCTAACAGTTTGACTGAGTTTATTCACATAAGGCACGAGGCAGGATGGAATCAATACTGATACTGGTGAAAGTTCCCATTCTTGAGATGATTATGATTTCAAGAGAGATATAAGCAGTCACAATATAGGGTGGGAGGAGTACGGAGAAGAAAGATCACCTCGGAGGGGACTTTAATGCTTTCATAAAATTAGGACAGGAATCAAGAAAAGGCTGCAGGAAGCAGGGTGTAGTCTGAGTGGGACCAGGGAGTGTACTTCTGCCCTCAGAGCAAACACAAGTTCAACAAGTGTGATAGAACACTCTTTATCTGTATGTCTGGTAGACAGGAGATGTAGAGTCAGGTGAAATGCTAGATAGTAAGACACTTTTCTGGAAAGGTCTAGGTGCCATGTCAAAAGGACCACCTACATCTCCATTTCCGAAACCCCAGTCCCCACAAAGCCATCCCATTTCTGACCCCCTCCCTCCCTAGACTCACATTCACTGGTGCAGCAAGCTCAGTCCTTGGGCACACGCCTGCTTCCCAGGCTGCCAGAAGTACTTTCACAACACTGCAACACTGTGCAGTGTTTGCCTGCTGGCAAATGACACTAAACACCTACTGAATGGGCCAGCAAGTTACCATCTGGCTCTTCTACTCTCAGGCCTCACCCTTCCCAGGTGACTCTCATCTCCATCGAAACGCCTCAAAATCAAGTAGCCATCAACAAACACCAGCTAAAGGTAGGGTTAGAGTGCTAAGTAGATGTGAACATCAAGTGGGGACATGGGTACCAGATGAAGCAAGTCTTTACCTGGGATCCTGCTGTCCAGTGCTGCCTCTGCCATAGAGTGGGATGACCTTGTCCCGGCTGATTCCAGCTTTACAAACTGGACATACTTGTCTGTTAGGTCTTGTCTCCAACCACTGCAAGTGAGAGAAAAACATGAAAAGAATGAACCAAAGCTGCCCTGTTGTTAGCCAAGTGCAGCATCTGACTGTGAAGCCAGAGTCCTTAAGGTGGAAACATCAGCTGGAGCAGCCTGAGCTGGGAACACTTAGGAACCATAATCTAATTTCTGTTTCTAGCAGTGAAAAATATTTACTAGGGATAAAATCACAATTGCCTTTAAATACCAGTAATTAAACAAGCTTCTTTCTCTGTTACTCTCTGGGGACAGTACAGAAGGCGCTGCAAGCCCGAGGCTCCTGTAGGCTCCTGGTGTGAACAGAACCTTACTTTCAAGATCAATCAAATTATCCATTATCTCATTTTTCTTTCTGTGATTTCTCAGTTTTCTTAAAAAAACACATATCTTATTTTTAATTATATATACATGTCAATGGAGGGCGAGGGTATATGCAAACAAATATATGTACCCTCGGAGGCCTGAAGAGGAAGCTAGAGCTGGAGTTACAGGTAGTTGTGAATATGGATACTGGGAACTGAACTTGGGTCCCTTTGGAAGAGCAGTACATGCTCTTAACTACTGACAACTCCATCCCCACTTTCTCATTTTTACAGCATTTTTCAGCACCTGGATGTGTTCATCATTTTTGGGTCACTTAATATTGTGTTAAGGGACAGAGTTTGCTCATTATCTAAACTTTATTTTTTAAGTGTTTTTTGTTTGTTTGTTTGTTTGTTTTTTGAGACAGGGTTTCTCTGTATAGCCCTGGCTGTCCTGGAACTCACTCTGTAGACCAGGCTGGCCTCGAACTCTCGAACTCTTAAACTCAGAAATCCGCCTGCTTCTGCCTCCCAAGTGCTGGGACTAAAGGTGTGCGCCACCACCGCCCGGCTCAATTTTTTAAATGTTTTATTTGTATTTTTTTGCTTTTCTTTTGAAGCAGAGTTTCACGTATCTGAAGATGCTGAACTCTTGATGCTCACTAGCGTCCTTTGCTTCCTAAGTACAAGGATTACAGAAGCATGCCACCACAACTAACCTGTGACCTCTTTCTGGGTACCGGAGGTTTTCTTATGTATATTTCCTCAACCTTTATTTATTTTTAGTACTAGGGATTGACTCAGAGCTTTGCACATCGTCGGTATACATACTATAGATAACTATGCATCAGCCCCTCGATACTATTGTTGCATGTAAACTGCATCTCTAGATATGAAGATAAAAAGTTCATTAAATGAATATGAGCCAAAGACTTCAGAGACACAGAAACAGCAGCATTTCATGACTTTATATCCTACATTCCCTACTTGCCAATAGCTCCAAAACCTATGTTACATGATCTCCTGAAGCTCACACTAATATGTTCTGCCAAATCTATTCTTTCAAGCTCATGTGAGTCAGACTGCTCATTCCTAGTTCCGTCTTCTTTCCCTAGGAGGAAACAGAGCAGTCTAGTCCCTGTCCTCCTCCAACACTCTCTAAGCCACCTAGGAGTGTAATGCTGTACTTCTGACACCCATGGAAATGACTACCTGGCTGTGACTGTTCACATCTAGTTGCCAAACTAACTGGCTTTCATAATAAATTAAAACAAGACTTACAAGACTTTTCTCCTCTGCAAAACCTATTTATTCACACCAAAAAAACAACTTACCTCTTCTCAACAATCTCAAGACCTTTCAAGAAAGAGGTATAATTTCTCTCTCTCTCTCTCTCTCTCTCTCTGTCTCTCTCTGTCTCTCTCTGTCTCTCTCTCCCTCCCTCCCTCCCTCCTTCCCTCCCCCCCCCCCGTCTCTCTCTCTGTCTCTCTCTGTCTGTCTGTCTGTCTCTGTGGTGTGTGTGTGTATCTGTGTGCGTATACAGCCACAAGTGTTGGAGCCCCTGAAGCTAGAGTTACAGGTGCTAGGAACTGAAACTGGCCCTTTGCAAGAGCAGCAAGCTAACCATTGAGCTGTCTCTCTAGCTAGGATGTTATCTTTTATAAATATAAGAGCTCAAAAACAAAAAATGACCTAATAAGCTAGGATGTGACTTAGTTAGCAGATCAATTGCTTAGCAAGCAAGACATCCTGGATTCTCCAATTACATGAAGTAGGTACTGTGATGCACACCTATAACTCCAGCACTTTGAGGCAGGAGGATTTCAAGGTCATCCTCAACTACATGGTGAGCTTGAGGATATAGCTTGGGATATATTCAATCTTGTTTTGAAGCAAAAACCAAACCAAAACAAAACAAAAAGGGAGCTAACATTATCAAGTCCAATCCATCTGCAAATGAGTCACTGAGACACAGAAAAGTGGTGGCCATCCAAGCCCATATGGCTATTAGTGGCAGAATCGGGACTAATTCATACATGAAAAGACCTCTTTATTACATCAAATACCGGTCAGCAGGCAGGTGTATAAAAAGGGCAACTAAGCCCAGAAGCAAGGGAGATTGCAGTTTCTGACAGCAGTCCCCTGAGATGAGGGCTGTCTTGTGCAACTCTAGCTGATGAAAGACAAAGTAAAATGAAGTACATCTTACCTGATGTAAACACGGCCAACTACAGAGTCCCCAGGGCGGCCAATCATCAGGAAGGAAAGTGGGAAGAAGGAGAAAAATGCTTTCATTAGCAGAAACACTCCATGAGTAGGGAAGGGACATCAGAAGGGGGTAGCTGGAGTACTGTAACCCCAGTGAGGCTTCACACGAATTACTGGCATCACATATAGGAAAAGGTATGAAGGCACACATCTGTAATCCAGCACTTGGGAGGCAGGGGCAGGAGAGAATCAGGAGTTCAAGGTCATCCTCATCTACACAGTGTGATTGAGTTTACAGCCTAGGTTACAGAAGAACTTGTCTTAAAACAACAACAAAATGAAAGAACAAAACAGATAAGAAAAAGCTAAACCCTGAAGGAAAAACAAGTGACTCTAGTCTCTAGCCTGAACCGCACCAAAAAACAAAACAAAACAAAAACCAAAAGCAAAAAAAAAAAAAAAACAAAAACAAAAAAAAACAAAAAAACAAAAAAACAAACAACCAAAAAAACCCAGACCAACCAAGCACAATTTATCCTTAGGTTAGTCTTTCAAATATTATAGGCTCTGAAGGAATCTAATGTAAGTCACATATTCTCTGCAGGAAAAGTCAGCACTGTCATGTAACACATGGCAACATAAAAGCACACACATATACATACACACACAATATGCACCGTATCAGATGGTTCACAGCCTCCTCGGGCTCACAAGTGATATACAGATTTTCTATTATTTAGATCCAATTTAACAAACTGCTCTTCTAACAGCAAGTGGTTTAGAGACCAGGCCTACTCAAACCATCTTTGAAATAGAAAAATGGAGAGGCTACTCGGGAAAGGCTACCTCCATCTTATAGAGCTGCTGCCCAACACTTCTTCCTTTTTTTTTCTTTTGAAATTAAATTATTTATTTATTTAAATACAGGGTTTCACCATATCACCTCAACTGGCTTCAGACTCCTGATCCTCCACCTCAGACTTCGGGGTAGTAGGTTTATGTATTTTTGTGGGTAAGAGTGTTTCTTACGTGTATGTCTATGGACCACATGTGTACCAGTTGCCCATGGAAGCCATAGGTTGTTGTAGCCCCTGGAACTGGAGTTACAGATAGTTGTAAGCTACCATGTGGGTTCTAAGGATCAAACCTGGGTCGGCTAGAAGGGGAAGCAGTGCTCTTAACCACTGAGTTTCCTTCTCGGCTCCCTTTTGGGTGCTAGGATTCCAGATAGAACCATATTCCTGGTCTCGTTTTTCAAATGAGGAAGCCAAGGTTCAGAAACATGTAACTTACACCAGGACTAAAAACTCTCTACTGTCTATATCTACTGCTGCATAAAAAACATGGCATTATAGCACTGAAGGAAAAGTATTCAATCCCAGATTTTTAGTATTTCTTTTTTTTTCTTATTAATAAAGTCAACAAAAATCTACTACAACTTACTGTGTAGCAGTCATGGAGTCTCTCACTCATCATGTATCTTTTCTAGATGAATAAAACCATGGCCTAAGAAGACAGTGCTTCTCTCAATCCCTGAACAAGGCTAGCTTCACACACAAATGCAGGGTCCTAAATATAGGAAATGCTCACATGTGAACCCAACACTGAGCTTCTGGGGCCACTGTGACCTCACCAGAGGGCATGTCAAATAACAACAGGACTCCGTTAGAGCTTGCTCAAATGCTATAGGTTAAAGGAGTAAGTCAATAAGTGACTTTCAGAGCAAGCCTTAAGGATTGTAATAAAGGTGGAATTCCAGAGGCAGAGGCAAGAGGAGTGTTGAAATTTTAAGGTCAGCCTGGTCTACATAGTGACCCTGTCCCAAAACCCAAACAAACAAAAATAATGATGAAGATTCCTCCCTATGAAGCAATTACTACGTGTCAGAGTGGCTGAGTGATTTTTATTTTTCCTTGTCACTGGATGGCACCAGGAGGTATAACCATCTCTATGGAACAGAGGAAGGTGACACGCAGAGAAGAAATAGATTTGTTAAAGATACACTGCAATCTAGACACATTCTGCTTTAAACCTGTTCTTTGCAGTGGTACACTGCCTCTCTTAATTCTGTCACTTTTGTCTATACAAAACAAGAATTAGGGCAAAAAATTTCAAAAACAAAAACCTTTACGCTAGTCTATTAATTCATCAATAAATTTAATTCATCAATAAATCTATCTTTTATATTGCTGAGAATTTAAACTCTCAAATATTGCTTTCTTCACCATATTCCTGCACAAAAATATTAATGGAGTCTATGTCCCCTGGGTTTGATAATCTGGCCCATCCCTCCACAGCTATTCTTGCTCCTTAACATCCCATCCAGGGTTTTGGGAGAGGGGGACAATGGCCTCAGAGACTCAGATGAACTGACAGCATACATGCCCATCTCTAGAAACTGCCTGCTTTGGGGTGGCATGGGCCCTTGACTTTAGTTGCCATTATTTCCCCTCTACATTCAAGGTTTCTCTCTACCCTTCAAAGTTAGGCTAACATCTTGAAAGAAAAACAACCACTACTCCACATCTACCTAAGTTGTCAGAGACAGCAGGTTTCTGGAAGCACTGAGACTAGGACAGTGACTTGCTGCTTCATTTTAAAACATACACATAAAATATAGAACAACTACAATCATAGCTAGCACATGTGCTATGTGCTCTTTCAACATTTCTTTTTCATTTGGGGCTATTTAATAGAAAGAAGCCTGTAAAATGAGGCAGAGTGCATGTGCACATCCTGTCTAAGGTCACCCATTAGGGAAATGGTGGAATCAAGATCTAAGAGGAAGAAGTCTGGCTCCACAGTCCTTGCTCAAAACCACTGTGCAATACTGTCTGTAAGTTCATCAAAGGAAGCAAGCCTTGCTCAAGTGGCAGTACATGCTCACAAAATGGCTTTACTTCTGGAGAGATGGGAAGATGGCCAAGGTGAAAACAAGATTTGCCCAAGGTTACCCAGACCTTCAGCAGTAGAGCTAGGATGGAAACAGTGGCTTCTTGTCCCTTGGGTCTGAGCGTATCAGGAGTCAAAATGAGTGAGACATTTACCTCAAACATCTTCTGCCCAAAGTGAAACATCTGCCCAGGGCCATGGGCTTTCAAACTTGGTAGGGTGTCCACAGAGAGAGGAGGAAGAGTACTCACCAGAAGAGGTGGCCACACAGGCTGATGACAGCATCCTTGGCTGTGTCCAGGCATATGTTGCATTCGAAGGTGCTGTCCTGCCCTCCACTCTCACCAGTGCCATTGCTGCTGCCACTGGGCCCCCCTGCACTGGAATTCTCAGTGGATGCAGAGGCCGAGGGCCCTTTATTTGCCATGGCTGCTTGCCAGCAAAGCTTTCAGTGAAGATTCTCAAGACAATCCTGGAAAGCAGAAGCATTTGATTGTCCATTGCTGAGGCCTACTTCCCTCAACTTCCAAGCTAATACCTCCATCTTCTCTCAGCTATAAACTCTAACTATGATTGAATGTGGGAACAGATTTCCCAGAGAGCCGCAGCGACAGGAGCTGTGGGGTTATGCACTGCTCATGAGTTGCTCATGGACATGGCTCAAAACACATTTCATAACGAAAACTACAAAAATACAGAGCAACCTCTAGAAGATTCTCAACAAATCTCTCCCATTTATACTTATATTTTCTTGTATTAACCACACCAGACAATAAATATTTGCTCCACTAAATATTAAATTGAACTGACAAGCTATCTTTTAATTTTAAACAAATTATGTTGACTAGGAGAACAGAATCTACTCAAGACTATGACTGGTATATGGCAGACTATAAAGAAGTTCCTGTGACTGGGAAAGATCAGGAAGCTCGAAGCAGTCAGATGATGGTCTTTGGTACTTTCTGCCAGCTGGAAACCACTTACCTTATTTTGTCTACATTTATCAACACACTTAAAAACTGATTCATGCCAGTGAAGGAAAAGGTGTCCATCCCATATATCCCTAAGTTGTCTGGCACACTTGTGCTCTGGGCAGCCCTGTTCACTTCAGGAAACTACAGACTGAGTTAGCTGGCTAAGTGATTAGTGTGGGTTAGAGACCAGGACGCATGGCACACTATATGTATTCAAATCACTACATCGCCATAGATAAGGCTGGTCACCAATTGCCAGTGAAAACATATCACTGTTGATCACCACTTCCAAATCAAAGAAACCAAGCAAAGGCAATGAGACCTATATAAGGCATACCCATGAATACAGAGTGCATGTTAAGAACCTGCCAGGAGCCTCGGCTGCTTACTCTCATTAGCTCAGGAATTAGAAGCAGAAATACTGGGTGGCTACCATAGAGAAGTAAAGGCTTAGACTCTGTCCAGCCCCCAGCCTGCTAGGAACTACACTTTTCCTAGCTATGCTTTTCTCATGTATAAAATGAGGACTCACCACTGGGGTACCAGATGACCTTGACTTCAGCTTCCAAGTTAAAAAAAAAAAAAAAAACGATCAAGTCTCCAAAGCTGGTCTTCTCAGACCAAGAAGCCTTGCACTGCGTCTTCACAGGGCAGACGTAGGGCTTGGGGCTCATGAGCATCTCTCACTACAACTGCAGCTTAGTGACTTGAGCAGGGAGAGAGGCCAGCTCTCTGCCACTTTTTCACTCAGTTACATCATTTTACGTGATGTCCCAGAAGGGCAGCTGGTTGCTGACAGTAGCAATGTCTTGCTAGCCTCAGTTCAAAGACCTTCTTCATGGTGGAGAGGTGAAAAGCATCCTCTTTTTCTTCTTGTATAACTGTGTGTGTGTGTGTGTTGCTAGAGAGTAAATGTAGGCCCTTACAATGCTAGTTCAACACTAGACACTCCATCACTGAACTATAGATATCCCCATTCCCCAGTGTTTCCTTGTTGAAAAAAAAAATTCTTTCTGAGATTTACTTTATTTTATATGTTCTGCTAATGCTCATCTATTTTGTTTAACATTAGCAGAATTACTGTTAATTTTGTTGGGTATGATTTTATTATGCAACTTTAAAAAAATTACTGTCTGGGCTGGAGAAATGTCACAGTCAGAAAAGTGCTGCTATACAAGCATTAAGGCCCGAGTTTGATACGTAGACCCCACATAAAAAGGTCAGCCATAGTGGGATACATTTATAATCCCAATGTTAAGAGGGATCCCTGGGGCTTGTTGGCCAGCCAAGTTAGCCTAATCAGACTAACTCTGGGCCAACCAATGAGACTCTTAATCAAAAAGCAAGGTAGATAGCTCCAGAGGAAGGACACTCACATATACTTACACACACACACACACACACACACACACACACACACACACAGAGAGAGAGAGAGAGAGAGAGAGAGAGAGAGAGAGAGAGAATTTTTTATTAAAGAATAGGCTGTTTGGGATTTACTTTAAAATATTCCAGAATGAGGCTAGGGAGATGGTTCAGTCAGTAAAATGCTTCTTGTTTGGGTTCCCAGCAACTACATAAAAAGCTAGGTGTGGTGCTGTGTCCCAGTGTGGCAGACCCCCAGAGCTCCCTGGACAGACTAGTCTAGGACAGACTAGTCTAGCTGAATTTGTAAGTCCTGGGTTCAGTGACAAACCCTGTCTCAAAAAATAAAGTGGAGAATGAATGAGGAAGACATTAAACTCTAGCCTTCACACACATACGATATGCATGTAGGGGTTAGGGGAGTAAAAGATGAAACAAGAACAAACAAGCTGACGGTTAGAAATAAATGATGTGTTAGGATTATGTTGTATTCTATATATATTTTGAAACTTTTCATAATAAGAGTAATTTTAAAAGTTGCCAAAAAATATATTTATAAACTTTTTAAAATTTATACATGCATACACACAATTTCTAGAAGACAACACTAATGTCTCAAGTACTTCTGATATTAAGAGGACTAAGAACACTGGACGGTGGTAGTGCACACCTTTAATCCCAGCACTTGGGAAGCAGAGGCAGGCAGATTTCTGAGTTCGAGGCCAGCCTGGTCTACAGAGTGAGTTCCAGGACAGCCAGGGCTACACAGAGAAACCCTGTCTCGAAATCCCCCACCCCCCCAAAAAAAGAGGACTAAGAACTTTGAACTTTTATCTTATTTTAATGTTCTATAACAAGCCTGTTATTACTTTTACAATGACTTTTTAAAAAGGAAGCTGTAAAATTTGTATATATTACATTTATTAATCATAAATTTTAGGAAGTACCTTCAATTCTTTTTAATCTTAATTTTTATTTATGTGTATGAGTATTTTGCCTGTGTGTGTGTGTCCACCCACATGCATGCAATGCCTGCAGAGGCCAGAAGGGGTGATGGATCCCCGGGACATGAGTTTTATATCTATATATAGACGGTTGTGAGCTACATTCCAGCTACTGGGAATTGAACTCAGATCCTCTGAAGAGCAGCAGGTGTTCTTAACCACCATGCTATCTCTCCAGCCCCTAGTAAATCTTTAGATGTGAAAAAAATATACACACATATATACACCTAAGTTTCTACATATGGGCTTGATAGTAATGACGTATTTCCTAAAGCCTCCAAAGTTATACAGTTAATTTGATTAATTAATATAAAGTTTCTTTAAAAGTTTTAATTAATTAATTTGTTTTAGACAGAGTCTCACTGTACATCCCTGGTTGTCCTGGAACTCATGATGTAGACCAGGCTAGCCTCAAATTCACAGACCCACCTGCCCCTGCCTCCTTAGCGCTGGGATTAAAAGTGTGTACAATCATGCCCAGATGTGTCACATTTTTAATATACTGCTTTTGAAATCAGGCCAGCATAGCAGTACATATAATGTCTATATTTTCCCCAATCCTGGGAAGCTCTAAATTCAAGCTTCAACTCTAATACTGACTGGTCAAGGTTTAAATTTCTTTTCTCTGCAACTGGATGTAACAGTTTGCAGAGTGTCTGCCAAGCATGCACGAAACACTAGATTTCCAGCACCACTTAAAATCAGGCATAGTGGCACACACCTATAAACGTGGGAGATAGAAGCAGGAGGATCTGAAGTTCAAGGATATTCTTGGCTAAAAGTAAGTCTGAGGTCAACCCAGGTTATATAAACTAATTCATTTCTTTTGTCCTCTGAAAAGTAAACACAGGGCTACCTAGATCAGTGGTATAAGGCAAATCAATATGGGAAGGGCTATTGCCACATATGCACCACTTATGATGGATGAACCCATCCTACCTGGATCCAACAAGACTCTGCATGGCTCACGAATGTTGGAAAAACTGGGGTAAAAACAGGTGTTAAGGTAGGAATAGTCAGGAGACAGCAACAGGCCAGCTGAGAGTTTGTAGGGTGTAGCAGTCATGCAGCAACCCAAATATTGGGACAGGCTTATACATGACAACTCTGAACATACCACACCACTCTTATCCTGATTCCCTTCTCCGGGTCTCACCCCAGTAGGCACTCAGATAACTACTGAATGAGTGAGTACAAATGTGAATGACTGGTTATGGTCAACTGCCAGGCTGCCTGCTCACAAACCCCTTTGCAATTCTGGATTCCAAAGCCACATACTCATCTATGAAGGCTCTCCTCTACCTCCTCCCTAACCTTATGTTCAAAAGAGATGAGTAGCATCCCTTTGGGGCTATCTGCTGAGCACCTACAGAACAAAAAAAACTGTACCCACAGCCTCTTAAGACTTGTAGGACTAGTACAGTGGCCAGATAATATAGGTCCTGGTTGTCTGGGAAACTAGACTTCTACATAGAATAAGAAGGAAATAGGGTCTGAGCCTTGCTGAGCTGCTAAAATCAATCTTGGTTCCTACAGAGCCTGTAGACTCTGACTTAACCAATATAGCAACCTCACTGTGGCTGGTCTGGAACTTCTGGGCTTAAGTGATCCTTCTAGTTCACCTCTTCAGGGCTGGGACTAAAGGCATAGACCACTGTACCTAGCCATTCTTTACTCTTTACCTGAAGCACACTGCAGGGTCAAATCTATTACTGCTCCTGACCCTCACTCCATTTTACAAATAAGAACGTCAAACCAGAGACGTTTCCAACACAATATAAACACATTTGATATTCTTACAGATGGTTGTGAGCTACAGTACTGGGTGCTGGGAACCAAACCTGGGTCCCCTGGAAGAAAGGCCAGTGCTCTTAACCACGGAGCTGTCTCTGCAGCTCCACCATTCTACATCCTCTAGGCTAGCTCATTAACATGTAACTGTAGGAGAGATATGCAGGCTTTGCCCCCAAACTCATTGCTATAATTTTTGTGCTTTCTTAATGAAATATGGAGCAAACCCATCATTCATCCACCCATTCGTGCAGCTAACAATTCTCCACTGACAACTATATGCCACACTTATTTCTACCGAGTGGTAGTTACACAAAGAAGAGCAGTACCAAGCTGAG